AAAGTCTCTGATACAAATAAACGTTTAGAACAAGTGGAGATGAACCAAGCCATCCACAGCCCCTATTCTGACTCCAATTATTGTAACAGTGACTATCCCTTTTTGAGACCTCTATGACTGGCTTGAATGTGGCAGAGACACTTACTGCTGATAATTTTGGTCAGATAGCTGAAATCACCAAACACTTGAAATCCAGAAAAGTTCTAATTGCATACAGAATGTAGAGACAATAAAATAAAATGATGTAGACTTAATATAGATGTGTTTTAGGTGGTCAAAAAGGAGTAGTGGCTTTTCATACCCCAGTGTGTGTCTTTAACCAGAAACAATTTAACAATTAACCAGAAAACAACACTGGCTGCATAAACAAATACAACTGCATTTTCCATGTATTATGAAGGCAGCACAGCCCTCCTTTGCAACACAGTTTCCTCTTTGCATTACAAAGCCCCCCTTACATCTCAGCCCCCCTTTGTATCACAGTGCATCCCTCTACAAGATGGCCTGCCTTTAATTTACATTGCCCCCTTTACATCGCAGCCCTGTATTTATATTACAGAGGCCCTCTTTACATCACAGCCTCCCCTTCACATCACAGTCTCTCTAATTACACCACAGTACACTCCTTTAGGCAACCACAAATACACAACAAAAAACAACAAAACAACTAAAAACAACAACAAACAAACATCATAACACAACACAGCCACTCACACTTGCCCTCCTGAGGATTTCCCCCCCCCCCCCTTCCTGACCAGGCCATTTTTTGTGATATGGCGCGCTGTGTTACTTTTAACATGCATGCAACGCTGCACCCCAATGAAATTTACATCCTTTTTTTCCCACAAATAAAGCTTTCTTTCAGTGGTATTTGATCACCTCTGCGCTTTTATTTTTTTGCACTTTAAACAAAAAAAGACTAACAATTTTGATAAAAAAACTATATTTTTTGCTATTAAACATGTCCAATAAAATTTCATCATAAATTTAGGCCAAAATGTATTCTGCTACATGTCTTTGCTAAAAAAAATCCCAATACATGTAATTTAATTGGTTTACTTGAAAGTTATAGCATTTACAAATTATTAATATCATTTTTTTTTTTTTACTAGTAATGGCGGCGATCAGTGACTTATAGCGGGACTGCGGCAGGCATTATGATACTGGGGGGGAACTGACTTGGTGTCACTGACATCCCCAGTGACACTAATACAATGATCAGTGCAAATAAAAGACACTGTACTAATGGCACTGAGCAGGAAGGGGTTACCATGTGGGGTGATCAAAGGGTCAACTGTGTGCTGTTTTACTGTTGGCTGTGTGTGTGCTTTACACTGTAAGCACACTACTTTGTATGGCTCTGCAAGCACTGTGCAGGAGCTGACAGGGGAGAGACCTGTGTTGTTTATACACAGGTCTCTCCCCCGTTGGAGATACTCAGCGATCGCCAGATGCCGGTGAGGAATCACCGGCCAGGACCCAGTTATTGACAGCTGAGGCCACGAATGGCTGCGTGGGTAGGGTGTGCGCACCCCTACCCGGAACTGCAATATCATATATATGTGATTTTGCACACCCGTGCCACCCTGTAGCAGTATTTCTGCTATAGGGCGGTAAAGAAGCAGTTAAATCATAGTCTTCCTCTTTACATAACAGCCTCCCCTTTACATTGTAGACCCCCCCCCTTTACATCACAGTGCCACTCTTTATATCACAGCCTCCTTTTACAATACAGCGCCCCCCCACCCAACATCATAATCCCCCTTTACTTTGCAGTCCCGCTCTTTACATGACAGCACCCCTTTTAGATTAGAGTGCCTCTTAACAATACAGCACCCCTTTTACATCACAGATCCCATTTACATTGACCCCCCACTTTACATCACAGTACCGCCCTTTTTATTGCAGCTCCCTCTGTGGCGATTGGACGCGGACAACCATTTTGTTAAAGATCTATCATCTTGTATCATACTCTGAAACTATCATTCTCTCTACCTCCAGCCCCCTCCCCTTGCAAGGAATGTGGTCTGTTTGTGTGCTGAGTTCAGGAGTGCACAGGGAACAGCTGGATATGCATCATGGTTGTAAACCCAATTAGCTGGTCCCATGGTGTCTGTCAGACTCTTGCCTTGGCCTGGTCGTAAAGCTATAAATCAGTCAGTCACTGGACATGAACAGCATTCCAGAGAACAGAAAAACGTACATCCCACTTAAAACCACTTTTTCATACAAATTCATAAATCCCGACAGGAACAAGGTACAATCAAACAAAGCACATATTCAGATAGGTCAGTTTAATATGAGTTACCTGACACCTTATACCCCTATGTGGCACCTACATGAGAGTAGAAAGCAATATGTCTTTATCTGGAACGGTAAGATATGTCATATTTGATGTCTGGACGTTCAGGATATAATTCTGCATATTAATCTACCAGTGGCTAGGCTGCTACATGTACCTATTGAAGGTTATTGCCCATGGTATAAACGTGGGAGGGATTTGGTCATAGCCTGAGTCCCGCCTAAACACCCCTCCCCAAATGAGGCGATTAGTTCTCTGCTTTAAGGAGACACCCTGCTGGGTTCCTAGAAAAAAGGCTTTTATGCCTGGAGAGAAGATGAAGAGATTCTCCCTTTTAACATCAGGAACCAACTTTGGGAGAAAAGGCACGCTTTTGTTCAGGACACTTGAACGCTTCTTAAACCCAGTATTTCTGCAAGTATCCTACCTTCTTAAACTTCTCTTTCTTTTATCTCTCTATTGTGTTATTGCTCTCTCTATTTATATATATATATATATATATATATATATATATATATATATATATACACATGTTACATCTTTTCTGAAAATATTTTTATTGTACCATTTTGACCTTTTTAGTAATAAATCCTATTTTCTGAAAAGTGTTGAACTATTTCTAAAGTTCTTTAATGCAAATTAAGAATCCCTGTCTCTGAAGAGTGCTACTGTGTGTTTTAAAACCTCTGGATACATCTGTCTGCGGTGACAGTGTGTACAGTCAGGTCCATAAATATTGGGACATCGACACAATTCTAATATTTTTAGGATTTGCAACCAAGTATTAAAAAGTGAAAGTTAGATTTATGATTATTATTCTGTCCCATTACTTTTGGTCCCTTAACAAGTGGGAGGCACATATGCAAACTGTTGTAATTCCTACACCGTTCACCTGATTTGGATGTAAATACCCTCAAATTAAAGCTGACAGTCTGCAGTTAAAGCACATCTTGTTCGCTTCATTTCAAATCCATTGTGGTGGTGTATAGAGCCAAAAATTTTAGAATTGTGTTGATGTCCCAATATTTATGGACCTGACTGTATACAGAAGCTTATTCAAACACCATAGTGTTACTGCTAAGATTTGTGAGTTTCCTCCTTCTTTGTAAAAAGGTGGTGTTGGCAGTGTGAAGGGTTAATTGCATAATTAACCTGACCCAGTAACAATCGCTCTCAGGCTGTTGGCACCTAGATTGGGGTACAGTGAGCTGGAAAATCTTTGTGCAGGATGCAGCTGAGTGTGGCATTTTTTAGTTTTAGATTGGCTAGTCCTTCAGTCACAAGTTGGTGAGAAGGGCTGGGGTCTGACGCCGCACCCATCACACCCTCAACAGCACAGCCCTCCTTCCTCTACATTATTGTTTTCAGCCCCCTCTTTCCAGTCTTACCTTACTTAGAAGGGCAGGAAGTGTAAGAGGTCTGTATGGAGGGTGGGAGATTCCCAACTTTTTGTAATATCAAATGGGTGATTGATTTATAAGACCAACCCAGCAAGCATTCACCTGCTGTTAACTTGCAAACTCAAACTAACTGAAACAAGTGGACTTTTGGGTTGTAAAACACGTCAAGAATCCATCAGCAATCATTGATTTTTCTACAGTATTTTTTACAATTTTGTTTTTTAATGTATTTGATGGCAGTAGCCAAAACTGTAGAATGATGGTGTGTATGTATATATATATATATATATATATATATATATATATATATATATATATATATATATTTGGGGGTTATTTAGCTCAGGATAGCGCTTACCAGTGAGTAGAGTCCACGCCAGAAATTATTGTTTAAAGGCTTGTCGGCCCACTTTTATTAAAGAGGACAAAAAAAAAATCCATACAATGTATATTTCCCACGCAGGGGTGTCCAACATCAATGCAAAACAATGATTCAGCAACCTGGCTCTTTTTAGCAGCACCGCTGCTCAGCTTTATGTCTCAGTCTTCTTGACCATTCACATACAAACGCTGTAATGGCTAGAGCTCTTTCACAGCATTCCTGCTTCTCCAGCCCACAGGTTTGGGCCCTCTGTCTGCTCTGTTAGACCACAACATGTCACCATGCACGCTTGTGGCTGCTCCCTTGCACCCACATGGTCTCCTCGGGAGGGTGGAGCCCAGAGCCCTGGTCCTGACTCTAGAAGAGACCCACACATACCTGCACAATCAGTCTCCTTGCCATTCCCAAAACCTGGTCCCAGGATTGGAGATTTCCTCCCACCAAGATCACTATGAAATCTCCAGGCTCCAGATCCCAAACAGAATTTTACAAAGAACCGAGGAAACTGAAAACAGTTCCCTCCAATTTAAACAAGCAACCTGCCTTGTTGAGAATCCTGGGTGAAACAATATCCTTTTTACATCATAACAAATCAGCACACTGTCACTATATATATATATATATATATATATATATATATATATATATATATATATATATATATTTATTATGGATGAAAACATAAGTATTCACAGGCATCAGCTATATTATGGTTTTTAATTGGTTTATGAATAAAGTATACAAATTTTAACAGATAATTTTGTTTAACCACCTCCCACCCCCCATATAGTAATATGACGGCCGCAAGATGGTTCTCTCGTTCTGGGAGGACGTCATATGACGTCTTCCCATTCTCACTGCGCATGCGCATGCGCGGCTCAGGGAGCGCGCAGCTCAGCGATCAGCGGTGCGCTGTGTCCCTCAGACACAGCGGATCACCGATCACGGAAAGAGCCTAAGATCTCGGCTTGGTCATGTGATCAGCTGTGTCCAATCACAGCTGATCACATGTAAACAAGGAAATGCCGGTTATCAGCATTTCTCTCCTCTCGAGCTGTCACGCTGACAGCTCGAGAGGAGAGGAGAGTCGGTAATCGGCTTTCAGCGGAGGGGACATGTACACTGATCATCAGGGCACTGATGATCAGTGTGCCCTGATGATCAGTGTAGCCCCAGCAGTGCTACCTGTCAGTGTCCATCAGTGCCTCATGCCAGTGCCACATATCAATGCCCATCTGATCTGCCTTTCAGTGTCACCCATCAGTGCCAGTCAGTGCCACCTATCAGTACTGCCAATCAGTGCCACCTATCAGTGCCAGTCAGTGCCGCCTATCAGTGCCAGTCAGTGCTGCCTATCAGTGCCGTCTAACAGTGCTTGTCAGTGCCGTCTAACAGTGCCTGTCAGTGCCGCCTAACAGTGCCTGTCAGTGCCACCTATCAGTGCTGCCTTTCAGTGCCCATCAGTGATGCCTGTCAATGCCCATCAGTGCCACCTACCAGTGTCCATCAGTGCAGCCTATCAGTGCCCATCAGCAGCCTCTTTAGCGCACATCAGTGAAGGAGAAAAATCACTTATTTACAAAATTTTAAAACAAAAACTAAGAAAAAACATTTTTTTTTCAAAATTTTCTGTGGTTTATAAAAAACCCAGAGGTGATTAAATACCACCAAAAGAAAGCTCTGTCACAAAAAAAAATGATAAAAATTTCATATGGGTACAGTGTTGTTTGACCGCGCAACTGTCATTCAAACTGCTACAGCGCTGAAAGCTGGAAATTGGCCTGGGCAGGAAGGGGGTATAACTGCCCTGTAGGCAAGCGGTTAAAGACTTTACTTGTTGGTACCTGCAAAATTCCTCATGTTTTGTTTAAATTTTACCAAAAAGCACTTGTTTCAGATATTGGTAAAGGACAATTTTTGTATATTTTCCTCTTATCTACTGTATGTTCTACTCACTTTTGAGGCTGCTCATTTAATGTTTGTTTCTCCACTACTGCAGGCCCTTATTTCCTTGCTCTCTTTTTCTGTCTGTTGTCACCCTTATGCCTCGTACACACGATGGGAAAAACTTATATTTGTTGTTTGTGAACAAAACGCACGATAGTTGCATAAATAGTATAGTAATCAAACAAAAAAAGTCAAGGAAAGGGTACTGCGCATAATCAGAAACGAATGACCCAGAACTAGACTAAAAATCTAAACAATGATTGTTTGAAAAGAAAAATCTTTATTGTATGCGATTATGAACAAAGGAGTATGTATATAGAGAATGAAATTCTGGACACCAGTGACAACATGATGTAATAAATAACATGAAATAGGTGATGTGAAATGTTTTTATTGTAAAAAATATCTTTCATGGCTATTGCCGGAAATGGTGGCTATGAAATAATGGCTATGGCCTGAAAATGAATGTTTTTTTTTCCAAGTTCAGTCAGTTTAAAAATCAAGGAGACATGGATGGATGGGAGACTTTGGATACTGAAAATTTAATTAAATGGTGGTTTTGGTTTGTGGCGCAGTCTTTGCCTTTCAATATCTCTGCTGATTCTCGTATTATTTCCCAGAGTAGACAGGTGACAGGTCCATGTCTTGCTCAGTTAGAGGTAACCTGTAAAGTTTGTTCTCCTGGTGCATTATGGCAGCATTCAATGAGGCGGAGCCACAACCCATTTTATGCTGCTATGAAGATGCACCAGGAAAAAAACATTTACTAAACTGAAAAATCTGACAGCAAGAGCAATAAACAACAAAGATCTATAGTTGGGTATAGTTGAAATCCATTGGCCATTGTGAATGTGCCATTTCCGCTGGAGGATACTGCCAGTTTTTGCCCTGGTGGTATAATGGCTGGAGCACAAAGGGATGCATAGAAGGTGTTCCCAATGGCAAAACTTGTTGTTTAGTCAACTGGGTTCTTTGTGTCAATTGTCCATTGACACCTTTATGTGCCACTTCAAGCACATCTTTTTCAGTTTATTTTTTACTTTCAGTTTACTTTTTCAGAGCTATTTTGCAAAGAAGAACAATTTCACTCTCTAGATGTGCAAAGCAGCAGCGATATACCCAAAAATGACTTGCAGCTGTAATTTCAGGAAAAGGTGGTTCTACAAAGTAATGACTCACGGGCTGAATACAAATGCACGCCACACTTTTTATTATTTTTATTTGTAAAAAAATTTGAAAACCATTTATCATTTTCCTTCCACTTCACAATTATGTGCCACTTTGTGTTGGTCTACGACATAAAATCCCAGCAAAATACATTTACGTTTTAGGTTGTAACATGACAAAATGTGGAAAATTTCAAGGGGTATGAATACTTTTTCAAGGCAATGTATGCACATGACCGTTTAAAAAATATATTAATTTTAGTCACTGTGAAAGAATAAAAAAAGTCAGATTCTGTTAATAAATTACTTTATTCTTTTAAACAATTTAAAAAATCAATTATAATACAGCAATATAAAAGTTACGTTGCAATATATAGGTGTAAATTTACCTTTATATAGTGCATCAATGAGAGCCTTGCAAGTTTCAGGTATTATTATTCCTGCGCACTTCCTGCACGTGTCGGCGTCCCACGGAAAAGTCCTGATCTCTCCTTGCAATCAGGACCTTTCCGATCATGTGACTGCCGTAATAGGAGAGCCAATCACAGCGGTCACATGACCCTAAACCCCCACCCCCAGCGTCAGAAACCCCTTGAAGGGCCAGGAGGCGCCAGAATGAAGGGATTAAAGTAACTGTAAACCTCAGACATTAAATATGATTACAGCAGATCTCTCTCAATGTAGAGCACCATGTGTCCATTCTGTCCATTCTGTCCACTGTTCCGTTCTGCTACCTGCATGAGTCATTTCTCACAAGTTTTCCTGACACCAAGAAAAAAAATGTGACAGGGGAGGGAGGAGGGTTGCCAACAGTCAGTAAATTTACAATTTTTTGAAAATCAGTGCTTTTTTATAACTGTCTGTAAATATCAGGGGCTGATAATTTATCGTGCTGTGTTGATTTTTTTAAGTGTAAACCAGGCAAAATTACTTGTTATGGGTACTGTCAGTGTTCCAATATTGTGTTTATACTGTTTAAATATCGATGGTCTTAGTTTTTAATAGGAGGTTTGTCATTTTTCAGGTTGTCAGTAAATTTTCCATGTCTTGTCAGTAAAAAATGCTCCGGGAGGTTGGCAACACTGGGAGGGGTGCTAGCACACAGGCTGTGACTGTCAGCTTCAGCTCTGTTCCTGTGTGCTGTAGAAAGGGGGGGTGTCCCTTCCCTCCAATCAGCTTTCCGCTCTCCTCAATAAGCCCTGCAGAGTGTAACCTAAACTCCCCATCCCATGCTTTTTGGAAGCTCAGACAAGCTTTATAAATTTTGGACTTTTAAGGATGTAAAGAGAGGGTGCAGATAAACAGGTACAACTTATGTAGGAGGATTTCTTTCATCTCTGCATATCACCTGAGGCTAGTCACTTCACTAGGTACAACGGATATACTGTAAAAAGTCTACACACCCCTGTTAAAATGTCAGGTTTCTGTGATGTAAAAAAATTAGATAAAGATAAATAATTTCAGAACTTTTTCCACCTTTAAAGTGACCTAAAAACAATTCTCTCCGTGGAATTTTTTTTTTTTTTTTTTTGGGGGGGGGGGGGGGAGTAAACAAAAAAAAAACGAAAATAATGTGGTTGCACACCCTCTTATAACTGGGGATGTAGCTGTGTTCAGAAATAAGCAATCACATTCAAAATCATGTTAAATAGGAGTCAGTACACACCTGCCATCATTTAAAGTGCCTCTGATTAACCCCAAATAAAGTTCAGCTGTTCTAGTAGGTCTATCCTGACATTTTCTTAGTTGCATCTTACAGCAAAAGCCATGGTCCGCAGAGAGCTTCCAAAGCATCAGAGGGATCTCATTGTTAAAAGGTATCAGTCAGGAGAAGGGTACAAAAGAATTTCCAAGGCATTAGATATACCATGGAACACAGTGAAGACAGTCATCATCAAGTGGAGAAAGAACTGGATGTCCCTCCAAAATTTATAAAAATAAGAGAAGAAAACTGGTCTGGAGGCTGACAAGAGGCCTACAGCAACATTAAAGGAGCTGCAGGAATATTTGTCAAGTAATGGCTTTGTGGTACATGTGACAACAATCTCCCGTATTCTTCTTATATCTGGGCTATGGGGCAGAGTGGCAAGATAGAAGCCTTTTCTTACAAAGAAAAACATCCAAGCTAAATTTTGCAAAAACACATCTGAAGTCTCCCAAAAGCATGTGGGAAAATGTGTTATGGTCTGATGAAACTAAGGTTGAACTTTTTGGCCATAATTCCAAAAGATGTTTGGCGCAAAAACAACACTGCTCATCACCAAAAGAACACCATACCCACAGTGAAGCATGGTGGTGAAAGCATCCTGCTTTGGGGATGTTTTTCTTCAGCAGGAACTGGGGCCTTATTCAAGGTAGAGGGAATTATGAACAGTTCCAAATACCAGTCAATATTGGCACAAAACCTTCAGGCTTCTGCTAGAAAGCTGAACATGAAGAGGAACTTCATCTTTCAGAATGACAATGACCCAAAGCATACATCCAAGTCAACAAAGGAATGGCTTCACCAGAAGAAGATTAAAGTTTTGGAATGGCCCAGTCAGAACCCAGACCTGAATCTGATCCAAAATCTGTGGGGTGATCTGAAGAGGGCTGTGCACAGGAGATGCACTCGCAATCTGACAGATTTGGAGTGTTTTTGCAAGAAAGAATGGGCAAATATTGCCAAGTCAAGATGTGCCATGCCGATAGACTCATACCCAAAAAGACTGAGAGGTGTAATAAAATCAAAAGGTACTTCAACAAAGTATTAGTTTCAGGGTGTGCACCCTTATACAGCCATATTACTTTAGTTTTTCATTTTTACTTCCCTCCACCTAAAAGATTTCAGTTTGTTTTTCAACTGAGTTGTACAGTTTATAGGTTACATTAAAGGTGAAAACACTTCTGAAATGATTTATCTTTGTCAAATTTTTTTTACATCACAGAAACCTGGCATTTTAACAGGGATGTGTAGACTTTTTATATCCACTGTATATGTAAGGATTTACAACTTTAACATAAAGTGTGTTGACAGATATCTGTCAAGGAAAAGGAGCGTTATTGCAGGGAATTCTACTACAGTAATTTCCAGCATCTAGAGGGATTTCATAGTGTGACGGTGTGCGGCGTCAGACCCCAGCCCTTCTCACCAACTTGTGACCAAAAAACCAGCCGATCTCAGACCGAGCTGTCACTTGCGTAACAATGCCACTCTCAGCTGCGCCCTGCACAAAGATTTTCCAGCTCGCTGGACCACAATCTATGTG